ACACCATGGCCTTCGCACTCTACCTCCTGGCGAAGAATCCTGAAGCCCAGAGGAAGCTTCAGCAGGAGGTGGATGAGGTTCTGAAGGACAACCCTAAAACCCTGACCCCGGCTCACATAGCGAAGCTGTCTTACGCCAAGGCAGTCGTGAAGGAGAGTCTAAGGTTCGTGAGCTTCGCTTCTGTGCAAAGTGAGAGACGGGGTTATCGTATGTCCAAGCATAGTTATGAGTGTGTAGTCCTTTTCAGTCGTATGTTTATCTGTCGGTATAAGCATGGATCATTAATTTTGATAATGTATCACTTTATCTAATCAAATTTATTTCTGTAATCAAATGCATGAAGCGCAAAGCTTGGCAGTCTTGCCTGCTTTGATTTGATATATTCATGTAATCAAAGGTATGAACCGTTGATTTTGAATCTTGGGATGGTAGTACTGTATGGAAGTAATGGGATGCACACACACACACACACACACACACACACACACACACACACACACACACACACACACACACACACACACACACACACACACACACACACACACACACCACCCATCTTTAGGTGACGGAACTGAAGAAAATTTCCTTGTGCATTGTCATTACCCAGAATAATGCCTACACACAGGTCGTACAAAGGGATATCTAATTCCTAAATTTTATCTCCAGATTTTTCCCTGTCGCGATGGGCTTCATGAGAGAGCTCAGCTCCGATGTCGTATTGTCAGGATATCAGATCCCTAAAGGAGTAAGTTTCCATATGTTTTTCCTTAAATATTTGTCTGTTAAACAAGGTACGTCCCGAAGGTTTGATTATAAATATGAATTATCATATTACATTATCTCTCTCTCTCTCTCTCTCTCTCTCTCTCTCTCTCTCTCTCTCTCTCTCTCTCTCTCTCTCTCTCTCTCTCTCTCTCTCTCCCTCCTCTCCCACCTTCCCTTTCTCTATCCTTCCTTTTCTTCCCTTTCTCTAATCCTTCCTCCTCCTTCCTCCAGTCCTCAGTCTTGATGCTCAACTACGAGGACACCCAGAAGGACACGGCCTTCCCTCGGCCGCATGAGTTCCTGCCGGAGCGCTGGCTTCGAGGGAACGACCTGGCCGCCTCCCACGCCTTCGCCCTCCTCCCCTTCGGCGCCGGGACCCGGATGTGCGTCGGGCGGCGTCTCGCGGAGCAGGAAATGTACGTCTTCTTGGCCAGGGTGAGTTTCGCCCCGTCGTTAGCGCCCCTGTGGTTGTCAGACCTGATCGCGTCTTCATTCTCTTGGGAGAGTCTAAATGACCGGGTAAAAAAATCAATAAAAGTGAGTAGTTTTATGTGATATAAAACTATAAAACATGTATATATGTGATATATACATGTGCGTTTTTCTTCGTTGAATGGCGTTGTTACATTCGATATTCGTCTGTACTTCGCTGAAGGGTAGTCTCCCACAATTTTTTTTTCTTTTCTTGTGTTGTTAGGAAAAGGTAATGGAGAGGAAGGTGCCACTTCCTGATGTGAGGTTATTTAACCCCTGTGTTTCCTTGTATTCCCTAAACCACGTAACAATGATAATAATAATAATAATTATGATAGTTTTCTTAACAATAATGATGATAATGATGATGATAATAAAAATTATAATAATAACAGTAGTAATAATAATGATGATAATAATACAGATGATAATAAAGAAAATATTAACAATCATTTTTATAAATCAATAATAATAACAATAATGATAATAATGACGATAATAATGATAATAAAAATAATATTTATACATTAATTAACTAGTTAAATGGTTGTTTAACTAATTAAGCCCTCCGTACTAAATGAATCCCCCCCCCCCGCCCCAACGCAGGTGATGCAGAGATACACAGTGAACTACAACTACGGTGACATGGACAGCACGATGCAGCTGATCCTCAAGCCGTCGCAGCCACTGAAGTTTTCCTTCACGGAGCGGCGAGCATGAGAGAGAAGGCCGCGGAGGAGAACCAAGAAAGAATTAACTCGAGTAGGTCGTAAGTGTGGAAGAAAAAAGGAAGTGATACGGATAGAAGGCAGAAAGCAATGACCATCAATCATACAATGCAGTTTATGTAGTTACTGTGAGTATACGCATATCTATATCTATCTATCTATCTATCTATCTATGAATGTTTGTATGCATATATGTATATACGAAATCACTATAATAACTCCAATGAGACATAAACTAGACAGCTCTGATGCCCCAATTCCAAAAAGACCTTCTAGATGTATAAGCTATATAGATATTAGTATTGATCTAGACTGGCTCATGAATACGGCTCTTGGATAGTTGTCTACTAAAGAGAGAGGTTTAATGACTGTGTGATGGTATGTCCTTTGTATTCATCCACTTCAATCAGGTGTTTCGTAGTTGTTTTTTGTGCAAAGGGTTAGAGAAGGAATGCAATGAAATCCTATGGCTGTTTCGTCCTTGCGTCAGAAATCGGCTGATTAGCTTTTGAGGGAATAGAATGGGTAGG